TTGGCTATTGTGCTTAATAGAATGAAGTGCGCAGTAATGTACATGTACTAGTATGTGCACTTTAACAACAGTATTTGAGATTTAACATTATTAAGTATGTACAATGTATTAGTTTGAAATTTATTGACTTGTGCTTAATATGCCATGTTGTAATCTTTCCAGCAAAGACGTTACATGGTTGTGTGTCCAGTATCCCTGAAAATGTTGTAAGAAAAGCTGTTGTTCATTTCTCATGGCTTGGTAAACTTTTTTCTTTTATATTTTTAACAAATTAAGTTAAACCTGAAATTAGTGATTTGTCTGTGCTTGTCTAAACCTTTCACTTGAAATTTTCTTAAGATCAGAGATTTGGTCTTGAAAAAACCAGAGATTTTGTCTTGAAAGAAACAGAGTTTAGGTCTTGAAAGATTTGATAACCAAATGGTTACCTTATTTATTTATAATATTCATGAAACAATTCAGTAAATGACAATTCTCTAGCAGTTTTCTCGCAATATCTTAGATGTTGACTTTATACTACATTGTATTTTCTTAATAAAGTGAATTTTTTTTTATTTATGTCAATTTCTGTCTTAACGAGTTTTTGTTATTTTTGATAACCTTTTACCTCATATAAGCATGTTTTAACGACTTTTCACCCCCCATCCCCTTTTTGAGGCCTCAAATTGTGGAAAAATGCCCTATTTAGACCCGAATCATTTTTTTCGTTTGAGAAATGTTGCTCAAAAAAGTGATTACTTTTTTGGCGCCGCCCCCTATCAAAAAGGTACATCAAGGGGGTGCCAGCAGGGGGATGTGCCCCTTTCTGTTTGGGGGTTTGACAGTAGGCCCCTCATCGCCAAGAAAATCTTTGCCTCAGTTGATCTTTAAGGTAATGTGTAACCATCGCTGAAAAACCTTTGTCTCTATCTCAATCCATTGAGAATTTGCAGCACTTTGAAATCAGTTTGATGGGAAAAAACAATGCAAAATAGTGATTTTTGGCAATTTTGAGAGATCCCCCTGTTGTCATGGTAACAGGACATTTAGGATTGAGCATGCTGTTACAAAGGCTATGGTCCAGTCAACATTTTTGCCAAGTTTGATCAGAATTGAAGCATTTTTTAAAGTTTCATAGCTGTTTGAACTTGAAACAGGAGGTTTTTTATGCCCCCACAGAGTGGGAGCAGATAGTGTTGCACTTGTCCGTCCGAGTGTCCGTCCGTCCATCCGTCCGTCCTAAGTCTGTCCGTACGTCCCGAAATCTTGTGAACGCAACTCCTCTTAAACTGGGTGGCAGATTTTGCTTAAACTTCCAGGGATGAACAACCTTAATGTGTAGATGGTAGTAAAGGAAGGAATTTTTGCTGCGACCAAATTTAACAGAATTATGGCCCTTTGTTGATTTTTTCACTATATACTATGTAGAAATTTTGTGAACGCAACTCCTCTTAAACCGGATGGCAGATTTTGCTTAAACTTCCAGGGATGAACAACCTTTATGTGTAGATGGTAGTAAAGGAAGGAATTTTTGCTGCGACCAAATTTAACAGAATTATGGCCCTTTGTTGATTTTTTCACTATATACTATGTAGAAATTTGTGAACGCAACTCCTCTTAAACCGGATTGCAGATTTTGCTTAAACTTCCAGGGATGAACAACCTTTATGTGTAGATGGTAGTAAAGGAAGGAATTTTTGCTGCGACCAAATTTAACAGAATTATGGCCCTTTGTTGATTTTTAGTTTTCAACTTGTGGCACATGTAGTCCAAAAAATATTTGACCTAGAGTCATAAGATTGACAGAACAGTGGCGTGTGGGGGCATCCGTGTCTTATGGACACATTTCTAGTTTTCAATGAAAACAGCCATTTTTCACAATATGCTCATGTGGTAAAAGGTTAATTATATAGTAGACTACTATAGATTCAGGGGTGACATGTATCTACTTTTTGACTTATAGAAAAATCTATTGTAGTGGACTTCTATTTGTTGTATGTAATGATTTTAGTTATAATAAAACATTATAATTTTGATGGTGTTACCTTCTTGCTTCAGTAGATCCCTTAATTATGGGCACAAATTTGAAGTTGCCTCAACATTGTGACATATACATCACACTATAGTGGATGTCATGTGATCAAAGTTAAGGACGGATTATAGACACTTCTATGTCCATTTAAAACATGTAACTATGCAAATGTGACAAAATTGAAAACTTGAGTTTAACCCGAGGAACACAATCATGTGGTTGAATGACTCTGATTTAGTACCCATTCTGAATTAGAGACAATACTTAGAGGTAGGGGTCTCAATGAAAATCCTTGAAAAAATTGTTGGCTGTAAAAGAATATACAGGTTTTGTGTGCCATGAAAAAAAAAATGTTTAAAAGAATGAAAACTTGACAAAAACAAACTTTGTGATGTTTTAATGATAAACAGTTACATTTTCAAGTTGTTTTTTTTTGTTAGGCTTCCTGGAACATTGTAAATTTCAAAAGGTCAGACTCCATGTTGATGTGTTAGTTGTATTATAGGTTATTAGAGTACTTCTTATTCATTTCAGTTGTTGTTTTATATTTCAGGGGATATTGTGTTGGTGATGTTACCAGGGTATTTTGTACATCTTCTAAATGTTGGTATGGAGTTCGAACCTTGCAACCATATTTTCCTTCATAGTAAGTTTGTTTTGTCCAAAATATTCTAATATCCAATATTTTTGTGTGTGTTGGGTTTATTTACCCTCGCCACCGGTATAAAACCATATGGGCGAGCATATGCTTCATTTATAATTGGGAAAAAAATGTACTTTATTAAATAACTGCATATGTGGCTAGTGAGTGCCATATTTCCTGCCCCAGATCGGCAAATAATTACCGTAGATGGAGCCGGAAAAAGGTGGGATTATATCCCACACTTAGATTAAAAACTGTATTTAAAAATTTGACTTAAATTATATTTTTGTTGATATTAAACATACTTTTATATAATCTATAAAAAAAATTGAAATGCTTTTTTCTGATTGGTTAAAAGGCTTTGCAATGCCTTTCTATGATTGGTTAAAAAGGTTTGAAATGCCTTTCTCCAATTGGTTAAAAATGAAAAGCTTTGAAATGTGTTTCTCCAATTGGTTAAAAGGCTTTGAAATGCTTTTCTCCAGTTGCTTTGAAATACTTTTCTCTGATTGGTTAAAAAGCTTTGAAATGCCTTTCTCTGATTGGTTAAAGATTTGAAATGCCTTTCTGTGATTAGTTAAAGCTTAAATTTAAGTGAATAGAGGTAACATTCACTGTTTGTTTTCCTAAAGATAGATTTAAAAAGATTTGTAAATCCTTGAAAAGACTCTAGACTGTGACTTGATGTCACATTTGATTTGTTATCATTATTGTTAAGAAACATTGACAAATCACATAGATAAAAGTCAAAGTAGATCTAGTCTATTTTCACTATTGCAGGAATGAATATTCAAGAATTATGCCTTCCCTTACATGTAGGTAGGGCCCATATTTTGAAAAAGTGATTTACCCATGAAATAAACATTATGATATTAATGTCTTATTAACATTTTTCATTGCAAATAAAGGTTAATTTTCTATATCTAACTTTTAAAGGAATATATAAGTAACATTTTGAGTGATAATTTTTGTGAAATGTAAGTAGAAATAATATATAAAGTAACTGAAAACGTCTGATATTTTATTGTGCTTTATTTGGAAAAAAAAATGTAGGTAAAACATTTGGAGACAGTTATTCAAAGCAAACAAAAGATGACCATCCTGCAGACAAAGTGTCACATGATCAACCAGCAGACCAATCAGCTTCCAGTATTCCAGTTTCTTCTTTAGAAGCAGATTCATCACTTCCTGTAATGAGCCTAATGGCAGAAAATCTTGTGTTCTCATCAAATTCCTCCTTGATTACGCTTGGACATGAATCATCAGGTAATCTTAAATAATAAATTATAAATGATTAAAAGTGTCTTGGTCAACATCTAGTTTAATACAGCCTTGTTTATTTTGGGCCACAGTGGCTAACTGGTAAAGATTGCTGACTTCAAACTATTTGATATTCACCACTGGGATAAAAGAATCCATCTGGCCATTTTTTCATGCATGAAAACTATTTAGCTAGCATACAGAAGAATTTGCAGTTTATGTATTATTGCTATAAGTAAGTTTTATCTATTATCTGCTTCATTACTTTCCAGGAAACTACATTTTAGAAAGGACATCTGGTGCTATGTACAAGATACATTTGAACTTGGCTAGCTTGATCCACATGTTTACAAATTGTTACATGCCAATGACAAGATCTTCCATCCTGCACTATATCATACTCCGACATAGGGATTTTATACTCTTAAAACAGGCATGTACTATTAGTTGTTCTTCATTTAGTTGATACCATTATCTCTTTTACTTCAGTACATTTTTAAACATTAATTTCCAAAACTATTTCATACAAATGAACAAAATAACTTTTTTTGGTAAGTTGTTTGTTATAAGAATGAAAAAATTAAAAAGAACTAAAAATGTTATGATTTTTATGCCCCCGGGCATATAGTAATTGAACCGTCCGTCCGTCGGTCCGTCTGTCCGTCCGTCCGCCGTCTGTCCGTACGAGGTTAACCTAGAACGGCAAGTTGAATTTTTCTTAAGTTCTACCTGTACCAATGGCTTCTAAGTTTACACACTTACTAATCAATACAAAGTACGTGATCTGGGCAAGTTTCATAACTCTGGCTTTCATATTTACCAAGTTATTGCCCTTTTCAGCACTTAGAAAATGAATAATGGTTAACCTAAAACGGCAAGTTGGAAATATCTTAAGTTCTATCTATACTAATGGCTTTATAATTAGCACACTTACTTATCAATACAAAGCACATGATATTGCCAAGTTATATAACTGTGTCATCCATATTTCCCAGTTATTTCCCTTTTTTCACTTTGAAAATAGGGCCTTGTCTGGTTTACCTATTTCGGCAAGTTGGATTTATTTTAAATTTCTCCTAATTGCTTAATTTCTTTACTGATATCTTTCATATTTAGTAGGTGGATACCTTTGATGGTTCTCTAATTTTTTTTGGAGTAAGCGGTCTCTAGGGTCAAGGTCAAGGTCACTGGTTTAAAAAATAAATATAAACCTTTTTGCTCATACAGCTTTTATTTTTTAGATGATGTCTTAGTTTAATACAAACACCTCCTTCTTTGGGTGTAGTATTCATTCGGGTCAAGGTCAATGTTACCAATGTCAAGGTCACCAATGTTAAAAATAGATTTTTACATTTTTACAGGTGTATTGACCTTATTCTATAGACAGATGTTATTTATAATTGATAGAAACATAAACTTTGATGGAGTTAGTGGTCAGTTGGGTCAAGGTCACCAGTGCTAAAAATAGATTTTTACACATTTGCTCATACAGCCTTTATTAAGTGACAGATATATTTTATATTTGGTAGGAAGATAACTTGCATGGTATTCATCCTTTTGATTGTGGTTGGGATCAGTGGGTCAAGGTCACTTGTGCTAAAAATAGATTTTTACACTTTTGCCCATACAGCTTTTATTTATTGACAGTTGTATTTCATATTTGGTAGGAAGATAACTTGCATGGTATTCTTCCTTTGGATGGAGTAAGGGGTCAGTTGGGTCAAGGTCACAAGTGCTAAAAATAGATTTTTACACTTTTGCCCATACAGCCTTTATTTATTGACAGATGTATTTCATATTTGGTAGGAAGATAACTTACATGGTATTCTTCTTTTGGATAGATTTAGGGGTCAGTTTGGTCAAGGTCACCAGTGCTCAAAATAGATTTTTACACTTTTGCCCATACAGCCTTTATTTAATGACAGATGTATTTCATATTTGGTAAAAAGATAACTTGTATGAAGTTGAATATTTTTCAACTTCACAAGTCAGAGCAATGACTTGGCAACCTATATTTTTCACAATTACAAAATGCCATGACTTTGTCAAGCTATAAAACTTGTTGTGTTTACAATTTTTTGGCGATTTTTCTGTCCATAAGTGAGTGAATGGGTAAACATTTTTTGAAGTATTGCTACTGACAAGAATCTGAGCCGGGGGCATTTGTGTTTAACAAACATGTTCTTGTTTTCTATTAAAAATCGTTTTAGGAATGATATCATTTTAAATTCAAAATCTGCAAGAAGAAAAGATCACTTTTAATACTATTCTAGTACAAATGTTCATGATGACTGGTTGGGAAGCAAAAACAAAATACTAGAAATTGCTTATATGTACATGATTTTGTATTACATGTATCTCATATAAATGCCCCCAGGGGCATAAAATTGTTGATTAAGGAACAAAAAAGGTTAAATATTGTCATAATAAAATGGATGTTAACTGTTTATGTATTATTTTCCAGTGTATTATAAATACTGGATGAAAATGGTGGTATTAAATTTGTTCTAATTTTCTTGGATTTGTATTAAACTGCTATCATCTTGGTAACTCAATTAACATTTTGTATGTGAAAAAAATGTTGGGCAATTATTAGGGGAGTGGTGTTTATTAGAGAATATATATGAGCCGCTTCTCGATAAAACCAACATAGTGCGTTTGTGACCATCATGGATCCAGACCAGCCTGCGCATCCGCGTCTGTGAGCAAACAGCATGGATCCTGATCAGACTGTGTGGATGCGCAGGCTGGTCTGAATCCATGCTGGTCGCAAACCCATTATGTTGGTTTTCTCGTGATGCAGCTCATATGTAGTTAAAATAACATATAATGGAAAGATGATAAATTTATTAATTGTTTCAGTTATTTATGGTATTGTGTAATGATATACCTAGTCCTGAGGTGCCTCATCTTATGACAGAATTTTTAATTGGTATGTAAACATATTTTCCATACCTGTCATTATTATTATCCCCCGCTGAAAAGGCGGCGGGGGATATAGAAATAGTCTCCGTCCGTCCGACCTTCCGTCCGTCCAATCGTCCGTCCGACATTTTTGTCCGGAGCATATCTCTAAAAGTATTTGAGTTATCAACTTGAAACTTCATAGGTGGATAGAGCTCATTGAGGAGGAGTGCAGTGCACAAGAATGATAACTCTACCCTGCGTTATTTTTGAGTTATTGCCCTTTGTTATTTTTCAAAATTAATTTTTGACCAGAGCATATCTCTAAAAGTATTTGAGTTATCAACATGAAACTTCATAGGTGCATAGATCTCACTCAAGAGGTATGCAGTGCACAAGAATGATAACTCTACCTTTCATAACTTTTGAGTTATTGCCCTTTGTTATTTTTCATACTTAATTTTTCACCTGAGTGGAGCATAACTCAAAAGTGTTTGAGATGTCAACATGAAATATCATAGGTGGATAGATCTTATTGAGGAGGAATGTTGTGCGCAAGAATGATAACTCTTCCCTATACAATTTTTGAGTTATTGCCCTTTGTTCTTTTTCATGCTATTTTGTCCAGAGCATAACTCAAAAAGCCTTTGAGATATCAAAATGAAACTTCATAGGTGCATAGATCTCACTCAGGAGGTGTGCAGTGCACAAGAATGATAACTCTACCTTTTATAATTTTTGAGTTATTGCCCTTTGTTATTTTTCATACATAATTTTTCACCCGAGTGGAGCATAACTCAAAAGTGTTTGAGATGTCAACATGAAATGTCATAGGTGGATAGATTTTATTGAGGAGGAATGCTGTGCAAAAGAATGATAACTCTGCCCTGTACAATTTTTTAGTTATTGCCCTTTGTTCTTTTTCATACTATTTTGTCCGGAGCTTATCTAAAAAAGTGTTAGAGGTATCAACTTGAAACTTCATAGGTGGATGGATCTCATTGAGGAAGAGTGCAGTGCACAAGAACGATAACTCTACCCTGCATAATTGTTTAGTTATTGCCCTTTTTTTATTTTTCAAAATTAATTTTTGTCCAGAGCATAACTCAAAAGGCCTTTGAGATATCATTATGATACTTCATAGGTGCATAGATCTAACTCAGGAGGTGTGCAGTGCACAAGAATGATAACTCTACCTTTTATAATTTTTGAGTTATTGCCCTTTGTTATTTTTCATACTTAATTTTTCAATTCAATTTTTTTCTCAAAAAGTATTTGAGGTATCAACTTGAAACTTCATAGGTGGATAGATTTTACTGAGGAGGGATGCAGCACACAAGAATGATAACCTACCCTGCATTATTTTTCAGTTATTGCCCTTTGTTATTTTCAGCCATCAGTATTCACATAGGTTTCAAATCTGTAATCACTATAGCCATCAGTTTTCATTACCAAAAGACCTCTTAAAGTGGAATTATTCTGCTCTACTACATACACATTCTTCCAATGAGCAAACACATTCGGCGGAGGATGGCCATGTTGACATGGCTCTTGTTTTAATTCAGCAATACTAATATTGAAATATTTGTTTATAGAATAAGATTCAATTATGTAAGAAATTATAAGCTTATAGACACATCACTTTGAAATCTGTACATGGTGAAAAAACAGTACTGAGAAATTAGTGTAAGTTTTCTTGTTCAAGGAAACAACAGCTTGCTCCGACAAGATTTGAGCCCCTATATTAAGTCTGTCATGTTAACCAATCGACCATGCATGGTATCTTTGAATAATGCAGTAATTTATTAATGCTAAGACTTGTAGTGGCCACTGAATCTACCCATTTGAACAGTTCTAATGAAGGTCAGCTGGCATGCCTGTGATCATGGTTTGCACTGTTTGCTATTCAGTCAGTAATAATTTTGAAATTTTCCCTGAAAATGATGAATGGTTTTATCCAGATTGAAAGATGGACAAGTCCATTTATGATATTAAGCTTGTCAAAAGTTAAACAGTATCACTGTCTGTAAAACATATTGCAGGAAGATGATACATATTGATAAAAACTTACTTTCAAAAAGAAAGAGCAGAAAATATTTTTTTTCTTGTATTTCAGCAATGACTTATTCTGGAATGAGACGTCAAATAGACCGAGAGGTGTTACGTCTGCTGCCATTTACAAACACAGAACCATTCCGTGGACAGATTGATAAGGTGATATAGTCTGATTATGTAAGGTCACAGTCTGTTAGAGGCTTGTCTTTTTTTGGAAGACTGCTTCCACCACAATATTTTTATGGTTTTAATGCACCTGAAAAAAATTTCAGCGTACAAATGTATATTGTTATGAACCAGGTCATCCATCCCTCTGTCTGGTCTGTAACTTTTGAATCAGTGGAAGAAAATTGAAACTTTTTTCAGAAATGTTAACCATAATGTGCAAAGCACAGGTTTGACCTTCTGAAGGTCAAGGTCAAACTTCATTTTGTATGAATTTCAAAATTTAGTGTCTGCTCTGTATCTTTTGAACCTTTGACCTCTGCAAAACTGATACAATATTGGCCCGCCCCAGGGGCATTGATTTATGTAGACTTACATAGAAAAACACATCAAGTCTTTTTTATGTAACTACAAAGCCAAAAGCTTAGATATTTGGCATGTAGCATCAATTTGTAGATTTCTACATAAGTTATATTAATCATGACCGTCGGGTCAAAATCGGCCCAGACCTCGGATGGAGTCACTTGAATTATGCAGACTAAAGTATAAAAAAACATTTTTGTGGATAAACAAATCAAACCCACAGCAGTGAGGGACACTTGGTTTGAAGTGAACAATCTTGGCTACAGAGGCACTAATGAAAAGTAAATGCCTACCAAAAAAGTAAAGATTTATATATAGATGAATATATCTCAAGAAACAAAATGAAGTGCCATTTTAATGAGACAACCTTTATACATTGTCACATCTTCAATTTTTGAAAATTTGCTTTTTCTTGAGTAAATAGTTTTCAGAATTAGTATACCTACCTAGAAATAGAGAAAGACAAGTTAAAATATTTCATCTTAACACTTACCCATAAAATAACTAAATTTTTGTGGGAAATTATAAACTATGTACTGAATGAATGATGATCAGTGCAGACCATGATCAGATGACATGTCCTTGCTCACATGGGTATAATCCATTACTGCCAGCATGCTTAGGGTTAATTAAAGAGTTTTATATAGGATGATACTAACAGAATTTCTGACAATATAAATATGTTATGTTACAGACTGCTGAAGGAGATCGACTAGCCAGGGTGTCATATTCTGCCATACACAGCGTCAACATTGGAACCAAGTCTGCAAAGGAGCGTCAGCAGCGTCGAGGTATCGTTGGAGATGATTGGCTGGATATGTTGCGGCGTCATTTACGATGGATGCAGATTAGTAAATCAAGACGGTTCTCACTGGATACAGTGAAGCAGACGTACACACAGATGCAAGCAGAAGAGGAAAAGGTTTATTATTTTTAGCTTGACAATTGGAAGAATAGGGAGAGCTATTGTACTTACTCCAGCATTTGCATCACCATTTGGGTTAAGTTTACCTACTTAAAGGTTAAAGATAATAAAAAAGAACTTTAGCTTTTTTTACTTACTTTTTAATATTGTGTTGGTAAGTTTTCCTTTTTATGTTCAGATTTTCAGTCATGTATATTCTTTGCAATATAGATCTATTGCTTTTTTTCAGCGCCTTCAAACCAAAGAGGAAGGAAATTTTCTGTCAGAGTTTAGAATTCATAAAGCTAAACCAAGGTATGCTATGATAAGTCTTTTCTCCTAGATATACTGTATTTCTGTGAAGATGAGGAGCATATGCATGCTCAAGTCTGAAAATAATAAAATATTTATTCTGTTCTGTTCTACAATGCTTTATATAATAATAAAAGAACCTTGTTAGATAAAAGTCAACTTTTTAAATTAATTAATAGAACATTTCTTTATGACTTGATGTTAACTAAATAGTAAAAGTTTTTTGGCAGTGTTCTTATTTTCTGTCACAGTTTGGTTCAGGTTGAGAACAAAATGATTCATTACCAATTATTGTTGTGAAACAGGTATTCTAAGGAGTCCAAATTGATTAGACTTGTTAAAGAGACATTGACATAAGTTTTGGTCGGGTGATGTCTTTTTCCAAGGTGGAATAGTTTGACATTTAAAAAAAAAGTCTGTAAAAATTGGGTCAAACTGATCACATAATCTTAGTGCATACCCCTGGAGAACTTCATTCTAGAGTTGTAATAAATGACATTAAATCAAACAAGTCAATTATATTTGGACAGAAACTGAGCTTGAGTTTAAACTTTTACCTCTTGTCTAGGACATAATATAACAAGACATGCAATTACCAACTAGATAGGTGGTCTTATGTTCTTGTCCAATTGATAACGGATTAGTGGTAGTGTTTCATTTATATTATTATACCCCCAAAAACGAAGTTTGGGGGGGTATATAGGAGTCACCCGGTGGTCGGTTGGTCGGTCGGTCGGGCTGTCGGTCGGTCGGTTGGTCGGTCCAGACGTCCGTTGCATTTTCCTTGTCCGGACCATAACTTGAAGACTAATGGTTGGAATTCAATATAACTACATACAATGGTCAAGCACATTGAGAGGAAGTGCAGTGCACAAGAACCATAACTCTATCTTGACTAATTACAGAGTAATTGCCCTTTGTTACTTTTCCTTGTCCGGGGCATTAACTTAAAAACTCTACTGGTTGGAATTCAAACAACTTCCATACAATTGTCAAACACAATAAGGGGAAGTGCAGTGCACAAGAACCATAACTCTATCTAAAGTAATTACAGAGTTATTGCCCCTTGTTACTTTTTCCCATTGCTTTCTTTTGTCCGGACCATAACTTGAAGATAACTAATGGTTGGAATTCAATATAACTACATACAATGGTCAAGCACATTGAAGAGGAAGTGCAGTGCACAAGAACCATAACTCTATCTTGACTAATTACAGAGTTATTGGCCCCTTTGTTACTTTTCCTTGTCCGGGGCATAACCCTTGAACACTACTGGCTGGAATTAAAAACAACTTCATACAATTGTTCAAACAACAATTTAAGGGAAGTGCAGTGCACAAAGAACCATACAACTCTATCTAAAGTAATTACAGGTTATTGCCTTTGTTACTTTTCCATTGCCTTCTTTTGTCCGGACCATAACTTGAAGACTTTGGTTGGAATTCAATATAACTAATACAATGGTCCAAGCACATTGAGAGGAAGTGCAGTGCACAAGAACCATAACTCCATCTTGACTAATTACAGAGTTACTGCCCTTTGTTACTTTTCCATTGCTTTTTTTATCCGAGCATAACTTGAAGACTAATGGATGCGAATTCAATATAACTTCATTACAATGGTCAAGCACATTGAGAGGAAGTGCAGTGAACAAGAACCATAACTCCATCTTGACTAATTACAGAGTTTGATTGCCCTTTGTTACTTTTCCTTGTCCGGGGCATAACTTGAAAATTACATGGTTGGAATTCAAAAACAACTTCATACAATTGTCAAACACAGTAAGGGGAAGTGCAGTGCATAAGACCATAAACTCTATCTAAAGTAATTACAGAGTTATTGCCCCTTTGTTACTTTTCCATTGCTTTCATTTTGTCCGGAGCTATAACTTGAAGACTAATTGTTGGAATTCATTATAACTTCATAACAATGGTCAAGCACATTGAGAGGAAGTGCAGTGCACAAGAACCATAACTCCATCTTGACTAATTACAGAGTTACTGCCCTTTGTTACTTTTCTCCATTGCTTTTTTTTATCCGGAGCATACTTGAAGACTAATGGATGGAATTCAATATAACTTCATACAATGGTCAAGCACATTGAGAGGAAGTGCAGTGCACAAGAACCATAACTCCATCTTGACAAATTACAGAGTTATTGCCCTTTGTTACTTTTCACTTGTCCAGAGCATAACTTTTGAAAACTACTGTTTGGAATTCAATACAACTTCATACAGTTGTCAAGGACATTAAAAGGAAGTGCAGTGCATAAGAGCCATAACTCCATTTTGACAAAATACAGAGTTACTGCCCTTTGATACTTTTCCTTGTCTGGAGCATAACTTAAAACGTACTAACAACTTCATACAAATGGTCAAGCACAAAAAGAGGAAGTGCAGTGCACAAGAACTATAACTCCATCTTCAGTATTTATAGAGTTATTGCCCTTTGTTCCTTTTCTTTGTCTTTCTGGACTTATTACAGAGTAATTCAATAAAACTTCATCAATGGCCAACCACATTGAAAGGAAATGCAATATACAAGAACCACAACTATCTTTAATTGCCCACAACCATAACTCTATAATTCAATTCTTTTACAAGGTATTCTGTAACTACTAGTAATATCCTCATTTCCGAAGCAGTCTTGTGGGGGTATTAATCACATTTAGTGATAGTTCTAGTTAATGCTGTTGTTATAAAAACTACCTTGATGAATTTTCATAGATCATATTTAGACCATTTATTAATGTTTTATATGCAAAATGACTGATACTATTTTATGCCAGTTAGCTTATAATTCTCTTAAGTAAATCACTTGCCATGAACCAAAAGACACACTCTTTTTCAAGGATCAACATGACAAAATGGTGGCTTGTGTGCCTAAATGGATGGAAAAGATAATGTGATGCTTATCTCTAGTTGCTTGTTCCACTATATTATGTGCTGGCTCTTTTATAAAAGTCATATTTTACGTTTCTTGATTTGCTTGTTAGTATCAAACCCGAACTACATGTACATGTACTTGACTCCAGTATTATTAACATTGTATAAGTTACGAATTCTTAACACTTGGATTATAATTTTTAAAGTCATTTATCTATACATCATCATTTATCTATACAGAAAAGAAAGGCCAGATAATGTTAGTAACTATGGTACCAAGACAGAAGGAATTCTGGGTACACCGCCATCGTTTCTACAAGGTTCGTCAGTCACTGAAGCCTCGGAAACTTGTATGTCTCTGGTAAGTTTTTATAATGTTTTACATTCTAAGATTTGAATAAGGTTTAGTTTTTAGCTCGACTATACGAAGTATATGGAGAGCTGTCCTACTCGCCCCCGCGTCTGCGTCCGCATCCAGATTTCAGATTAAAGTTTTGGTGCAGTAAAATATTTTTCACTATAACTTTGTCATTTCTTAAGGTATCAACTTCAAACTTCAAATATATGTTCCTTATCATCAACCACATCTTATGTGACAAGGTTCATAACTCTAGCACAAATATTTTCAGATTTATCTCCCCTTGAACTTAGAATTTTCCTTAAAAAATACTATTTTTTACTGTAACTTCTTTATTTCTTAAGGGATCACCCTCATACTTCAAATAAATGTACCTTATCATCAAATGAATGTACCTTATCATCATCCCCATCTGATGTGACAAGGTTCATAACTCTAGCACCAATATTTTTAGCTCACCTGTCACAAAGTGACAGGGTGAGCTTTTGTGATCGCTTTTCGTCCGGCGTCCGTCCGGCGTCCGTCCGTAAACTTTTACTTTAAATGACATCTCCTCATAAACCACTAAGCCAATTTCATCCAAACTTCACAGGAATGTTCCTTTGGTGGTCACCTTTAAAAATTGTTCAAAGAATTAAATTCCATGCAGAACTCTGGTTGCCATGGCAACCGAAAGAAAAACCTTTAAATATCTTCTTTTAAAAAACCATAAGAGCTAGAGCTTAGATATTTGGATTGAACCATTTTCTAGTGAGTGTCTACCAAGTTTGTTCAAATAAAGCCCTGGGGTCAAAATTGGCCCCGCCCCAGGGGGTCATTGATTTTCCCTATATGCATATAGTAAAAACTTAAAATCTTCTTTTAAAGAACCCAAAGAGCTAGAGCTAAGATATTGAGCATGAAACATGTTCTAATGAGTGTCTACCAAGTTTGTTCAAATAAAAGCCCTGGGGTCAAAATTGGCCCCGCCCCGGGGGGTCATTGATTTTCCCTATATGCATATAGTTAAAACTTAAAAAATCTTCTTTTAAAGAACTCAAAGAGCTATGGCTAAGATATTGAGCATCAAACATGTTCTAATAATACGTGTCTACCAAGTTTGTTCAAATAAAAGCCCTGGGGTCAAAATTGGCCCCGCCCCAGGGGGTCATTGATTTTCCCTATATGCATATAGTAAAAACTTAAAAAATCTTCTTTTAAAGAACCCAAAGAGTTAGAGCTAAGATATTTAGCATGAAACATGTTCTAATAAGTGTCTACCAAGTTTGTTCAAATAAAAGCCCTGGGGTCAAAATTGGCCCTGCCCGGGGGATCATTGATTTTCCCTATATGCATATAGTAAAAACTTAAAAAATCTTCTTTTAAAGAACTCAAAGAGCTATGGCTAAGATATTTAGCATCAAACATGTTCTAATAGGTGTCTACCAAGTTTGTTCAAATAAAAGCCCTGGGGTCAAAATTGGCACCGCCTTGGGGATCATTGATTTTCCCTATATGTGTATAGCAAAAACTTAAAAAAATCTTCTTTGAAAAAACCCAAATAGCTAGAGTTTAGATATTAAGCATGAAACATCTTCTAGTGAGTGTCTACAAAGTTTGTTCAAATAAAAGCCCTGGGGTCAAAACTGGCCCGGCCCCAGGGGTGTCATTGTTTTTAACTATATGTGTATAGTAAAAACTTTAAAAAAATCTTCTTTTAAAAAGCCCAATGAGCTAGAGCTTAAATGTTTAGCATTGAAACATCTTCTTATGGGTGTCTACCAAGTTTGTGCAAATAAAAGCCCTTGGGTTAAAATTGGCCCTGCAACATTGGGGGGGGGGGGTGGGGGTGGGGGG